GTCCCATTAACAATGATTTCACTGGCACATTTTTAGCCGGGCCAATCAGAGAACAGAATGTCGATTTTCTGCGCAGTGTCTGCTTGTAGTTTATTTTATCTGGACCAATCAGCAAACAGAAGGCGGAGTTTTTAATGACGTCGGTGTTCTGCGCAGTGTCTGCTAGTTATTTTAGCATACGGCAAAGCAGCAGCTCTCATTTACAGTCATCTCGTTTGGCTCAGTATATTTCTCCTCTCAGTAGGTGTGTTTACAGCACACGTGATTTCCGGTTAGCTTCTTAGCTTAGCCTCCGTCACAGCGACACACACACACACAAGCTTCAGCAGAGGCCACAACTCCTGCAAGAAACGATTCTCTATGGCTACGTTCACACTGCAGGTCTTAATGCTCAGTTCCGATTTTTTGAAAAAATCCGATCTTTTTGTGTGAACGTTCACATTACATTTTAAATGTGATCTGCATCAGACCCCTGTGTGAACGCTCCACAGCACTGATGTGACACGCATGCGCAGTAAAAGACGTGACGTCTCATCAGCCGGCTTGTTTGTTCACTGAGCTAGCATGGATGCTACATTTTGTACATCGAATCGGAAGTTGTTGATCAATCAGAGCCGATTAAATAATTATCTGACATGCTTCTTTAGTTCAGTGTTTACATCTGAAGCTGCCTCTGACTGGGATGCTCCAGTGAAGCTTAATTTTTTTTTGAACGAAACTACGAGCTGGAAAAAAGTATCGACCGAGTAGCTAAATTTAGGATCGATACTCTCCGCGACCCAGGCTGGACATCGTTATTATCATACTAATGAAAAGTAAAAAGATGAAGCAACTGGACTTGTGTTTTGGAGCTGTAAACACYVYGAGCTACAGATTTAAACAGCGAGACTTGAGGTTAGTGTCTTATCGGTCCTTCACCCCCTCCTCCTGATGAAAAAGTCAGATGAATGTGACATGAGCGTTCACTTTGAAAACATCAGATATGTATCCGATTTAAAACCACATACTGAAACGGCCTGGGTCGGATTTGAAAAAATCGGATTTGTC